GATGATTATTAGCATTTTAGCCACCCTCCTGCTATCAGTTAGCCCACCTAACATCAGCTTCCCATATTTCTGAGAGTGCTTCTGCACTCATGTCATGAGTCTTCTTTTTATCTTTGTTTGCATTCCCCATGGATCTCTTTTCTCTTGCTTTCTGGAAATCTCTGTCTCCCATATCACAGAGGAACAGACGAAAGGTAACATGGAGAGACTGCAGAGCTTCAGAAGAGAGAGGAGGTAGTCACTGCCAGCTAAAAAACCAAAACAACGTTAAAGACAAGGTGAAGTGTCCTGGGAGCTGGTTTTCCATGGCTTCACCACAAGATGCTGCTCTAACACTGAAAGTCCTAGTACCGAATGAACTGGTCTCAACTGACAGCCAAAGGAAATGGGTACAGAAATGAGAACATTTGTCTCCCAGGGCAACCAATGTACATTTGTGAGACCACACTGGGAGATGTTTCTCGAGTTTTGAGGCTGTGTCACCAGTGTGCTGATGACACCCATGTTTATCTCTCCTTTCCATTGAATTCCAGTGAACCTGTTTCTGTTCTAAAGTGTGCCTGGCGTCAATAATGGACTGGATGAGGGCAAACAAATTGAAACTTGATCCAGAGAAGACAGAAGTGCTCTTGGTTAATTGGAAGGCAGGTGGAGGGAAAGGGATGTAACCTGTGCTCTATGGGGGTGCACTCCCCCTGAAAATCCAGGTCCACAATAATTCCAGTGAACCTGTTTCTGTTCTAAAATGTGCCTGGCGTCAATAATGGACTGGATGAGGGCAAACAAATTGAAACTTGATCCAGAGAAGACAGAAGTGCTCTTGGTTAATTGGAAGGCAGGTGGAGGGAAAGGGATGTAACCTGTGCTCTATGGGGGTGCACTCCCCCTGAAAATCCAGGTCCACATTTTGGGCCTGCTCCTGGATTCATCTCTGAGCCTAGATGCCCAGGTTTCAGCAGTGGCCCAAGATGCATTTGTACAGTTAAAACTGGTGTGCCAGCTGTGCCTTTTTCTTGAGACATCTAATTTTGCTACAGAGACACATGCCTTAGTTACATACCACCTGGATTGCTCTAACATGCTCTCCGTGGGGCTGCCTTTGAAGATGGTTCAGAAACTTCAACTGGTTCAAAATGCAGCTGCCAGACTGCTGACTGGGGCCAGTTAAAAGGAGCATATAATGCACATGTTACAAAAACCGCAGTGGCTACCAAACCATTTCCAGCTCCAATTCAAAGTGCCAGTTATTACTGTACTTGTAAAGCCTTATACAGTTTGTATCCAGACTATTTTAAGGACTGTATCTCTGTATTCTTCCCAGTCCTTAAGATCATCAGAAGAGGCCCTCCTCTTGGTTCCATTGCCATCACAGGCATATTTAATGGAGACACAAGAGAGGGTCTTTCTGTGGCTGATCCACAGTTGAAGATCCACCTTTTAAAAGGCAATCTTTTAATAATCATAAATGAGTCCCTGGATGCTAGTTTTTAGTTGAGTAAGTTTGTTTTTAATGTTTTCAAAGTTTTTAATCATTCAGTTTATTTTAATTACTATGTGACTGTTTTAAATATCTAATTTCTTGTGTTTAATTTTTTTTCAACACTGAGATGCCTTGAGTCCCCATATCAGAAAGACAGCCTATAGATGAGACAAACAAACACATTTTGGAGGAACAAATGCACATGAAACCATGACAACATTTGAAACAGCTTTATAAACACATTTTAATCAATGTAAAAGTGTGGAGGGATGTCTCTCTTAGGAAAGTACCTACAAAACATACATATTTTGAAAAAGTTGACAGAAAATATGCATAAATTTCCATTGAGAAAAAATGTTTTGCCTCATGATCAAGTATATAAATGGCAAGAAATGTGAAAGCCAGTGGGGAAGCTGGTAGTCTGGCTGATGAACTGGTAAGTCTTTCACACCAAATGCATGATTAATTGTTGCTTGACCGTTAAAATGAATACACACACACACACAGAGAGAGAGACAGAGAGAGACACCACTGGTTTTAAGATGCTTAAATGGGCGAACCAGTTCAAAATATTTTGATCCTTGTCCGGTCTCAAAAATAAAAGCACCATGGCATCATGTTTTCCAGGCATCTCTCTGTGTGTGCGTGCCCATCTATCCTGCTCTTTCCCCCTAAAGTTTCTCCAAATCAATGGAAAGGAGATGACAGATTCTTTTCAAATGTAGAAGTTATGAGGCATCTTAATATACTAACATGAGAAGTGTGAAAGTAAGTGAGGGCTGAAGCAGGTAACCTGGACTTTCTAGCATTACCTGCACTTTTGCTTTTCACCAACCTGTCCACTTCTGTAAGTTTTTGGTATCTGCGGATGACTCAGGAGAGGAAGAAATTTCTCTTCATTGCTCCAGCCAAGGTCCATTGTATTTCTTCTCATCTTATTTCATTAATCCTAAGGTTTGTGGGGAGACTCTTAGGGCATTTGGATATCTCCCTAAAGAGGAAATGTATTCTCTGGTTTACACAGCAGTTGGAAAACAATAAGAGAGAGCAAGAGGCTTCATCTCAAGACAGAAGATAAATGTATTTGTCAGAGGGCTTGGGAGCATAGAAGGGATCTCTCTTATTTGCAGTAGCATTCTCTTTTCCAACTTTAATGAAAGACTTGAGGAAGCAGTATGTGCCCCTTCATTCTTCTCATCAGTGAACTAAGGGTAAGTGAAATTGTGGGTGTCTGGTCAGAGGTATACATTGGCTGGTTTCAGATGTTAACACAGGGAAGGGAGTTCAAATTTCTCTACACACACTTTCCATGTAATTTTCAAAGTCAGGAACAGTACTCTCAGCCTGTAACAGGATGTATAATTTCTCTGAATTTCCATATTTCCCTGGGTAGTTTGTGGCCTGATCAAAGCATATTCCTCCTCTAATCATTTAAGAATGAGCCATTCCCCAAATTGCTCAGTCCATGAGCCTCTACTCCTCAAGGCTCATCTCTTGAGTAGGTCCTTGGTTTAAGTACACCCTGGATGATGCAGCCCTTACCATCACTCAGGTCTTCATTTTCTCTATATCCCTTCTTCTTCTGCTTCACATGTGTTTATAAGAGGTAAAGGAGGGATGTGGTAGAACAAAAGAGCAGTAAAATCCTTCAGTGCTGCAAATCTTCATTACCAACTGCAGCCTTCGATCTAACTTTTCCCTCCAAAGGTCAACAAGCCTTTATATGAAAAAGATTTTTCCCCCACTTTATAAGTAACATGTATTTATTAGATTTTTTTGCTGCCCCGCTAGCTAACCAGCTACCCTGGGCAGTTTGCAACAGTATAACTAGACAAATTATAAAATCAACCAACTACAAACAAATGCTGTAAGTAACTATAACTACTATGCAGAAGAACAAGCAGTGGTAAATTGACAATAAGGTGTTCTAATTATTATCATTATTATTCTTTCTTCTCTCCCCCCCATTTCAATTAACTGAGGAGGGCCTTCCTGAAAGCTTCTCTAAAAAGTTCTGTTTTTAGGAGCTTCTTAAAGCCTTGTTGATGTCTTACAAGCTTCTCTTGATGTAAACACCCACAGGCATGAGGCTTGAGAGGACTGAGTAAGACGGGCAGCAGAACTTGGAAGATGATGTTTTATTTGTTTAAAATATTTATATCTCATATTTTTCCTCAAGAAGACCCAATATGGTTTACAATATTAAAAAAAATTAAAATTTAACAATATTTAATTAAAATTAAATGCTTAAAATACAATAAATTATTCCCCTATTAGAAAAGAATTAAACAGACAATGAAAGTATGGGCATATGAGATTGGCACTTAAAAACTAAGTGTATCTTCAGGAATGTTTCTGTATTTTTGGAATTATGAGAAGTGACATGCTCTTTCTGCACTTTCTGAAGTTAGAGGGGCATTCAGACCACAATGTAAAGGATATAACTGCCTCATCCCAATTCCTTTGTGCATTGTATAAATTGCACATTATTGCTTAGCTGGAAAAAAATAGCTATGACCTAGAAATAGCAGCAAACGTTTATTTGAACCTATTAAATGTTTTTTCTCTTCAGCACAACTGCAAGTGAGATGAATTTTTCAAAACAGTAAAAACATCTCTCTCTACACACCCAATACCTTTTGTTTGTTATTGCTAATTAGCTACTAGAGAACCAAGTCTTCATCTCTGCTTGTCTCCAACTCCCCCTCTTTTGACTGTTGAAATTGATAGAGATTTAAGTCAGTGGATAGGTGTTTGAATGTCTATACAGTCTACATACAGTATATCAAACAGCAGTGGTTGTATGATAAAACCTACAGTACCAAGTTCCAAGAACAGTTCTGGTGGAACAGTTCCAAAGGCCATCTAACCAACTTCCCTGAATCTAAGATACACATATTATTTGAGCAGAAAGTATCTTAGGACAAGCAGTTGCAGTACGTGACTCACTGGCCTCTATTAATCCTGTAGCAAGTTCCCCTTCCTTTGCCCATCACTAAAACAAACTGTGAATCTATTGCTAAAATCCTGTTACTTAGTGTAGTAAATCACACTAGAACACACCCATTGAATCAATGGGGGATTGGTGAGTCAACTCTTCTATAAGCTCCAGTTCACCATGACTGAGTCTTGGACCTACAAAGAAGTACAATAGTTCATCCTGAGCAAGCAAAGTATCTCACAGACAAGCAAAGTATCTCACATGCTTACTGAGTAGCTGTGATTCAGGGGCTACATTCTATGACATTCTAGCTTAATACTACAGCATTAACTAAGGATTTTGAAACATTATCCTTGCAGGAACAAAATTCAAATCCACATCTTTATTTGTGATAGTAAAGCTAACAGCACTATATTTTGCAATGTCCAGAAAATATATTATTAGTCACCACACTGACAGATTGAAGTCAGCAGTTCATCTATGCTGAACTTCCTTTTAATACAAAGCATTCAAGCATACTTTAAATGTTCATCTAACAAGACAACTGTATTTGCATATTAGAGAAAGGGCAGGGTTTACCTTAGGTAGCTCTTCAATTTGATTGGCATCTAGATAAAGCTCCTCCAATGTCCGTTCAAAGTTAAAAACCTCCTTTGGCACCTGCTGAAGGCTGCAGTGGGAGTAATCAAGCACGGAGATGATTTCTTCTTCCCCTCGAAAACATCGGCATGGCACCAGGCGGCCAATAATTTTTCTTTTGGTTGTCATCTCCAAATGCTGTGCTAAAAGGGGGAGGGAAATGGGGGAGGGAAAGAAAAGAAACTGTTTCCCCAAATCATTGCTTGTTTTACTAGAAAGAAAAGTAACACAATGCCCATGATTCTTTTAAAGAATGTATTTCTGTGTGATCTGTCAGTTTTAGAACATATCAATATAAATTCCGCACAGCAGACTGAACAAATGTCAACTTTCTGCCTTTCGTATTTTCAGTCTTTTCCAGCTTTGTTACTTTTGCATGGAGCTTGCCAGCCAAGGTAGGAAAACAGAAGAGGTTCAGTGCTCTTGTTATTTTTCTTAAATATGCAATGAGTACAAACTCATTCATTCTGATAGCCGTTTTAACATCACTTTCAAGCATTCAATTGCACAGTGGTACTTAGTGTCATTACAGAGTGCAGTAAGTTGCAGACCACTACATTTAGTTACCATCTTGGGACCACAGAGGAATCTACTGAAAGCCCCTCCACGCTTAAAATAAAAACCTCAACTATTTCCCTTACAGTGCTACAGTATAATCCTAGGCAAAAGAATGAACATGTGCCTAAAAAAAGAAATGTTCCTTTCTAACTGGTCATGTTATCTCTGTAGCTTCTCATTGACTGTTGGACAAAAAAAATCAGTAAGTCGGTTTAGATCCATTTCACCTGATTCTGAAATCTAAACCACCAAAGGCAGGTAATGGTACTTCAATGGCAAAATTTTAAAGGAAAGACAGGAAAAACATGTTTATCATCAAGGAACTTGGAGCACCAGAATTACCATATTTTATTCCCACAGCAGGAGACAGCAAATAGGTGGCAAATATAAAGCAATCACTTGATTTTGTATATAATCATCACCCAGCTATTTGTTATGCAGGACGGGCCCTGCTCTGTAGCAAGGTGAAACTGCATCTTTAAAGAAGCTCAAGTTGATGAATATGAATTCTGAATTGCAAACTCATGTATTTGCCAGTTACAGTTCATGAGTTTTATGAATTATAATGTTTGAATATGCTGTAATTTGCAAAATTATTAACTTGGACTTTAATTTTCCATTTCATTTGCAAATCTCATTGTGCATGGTGCCAATTTGAATTAGACCAGCATATCATAAATAGATGATGATGATCAACATTACATACCTCACTTTGAATATTCATGGTCTGCATTGTTTGCCCTGATCTATATGTGGCAACCAGAACAAATGGTGAACAAGGAGTCTAGAGAAGAGAGAGAGAGATCAAGCTATGTTCCTGGCAAATGAAGTTGTTCATTCCTGAAAATAATAATGGTTTGGAGGTTGCCAGAGCCACCAAAAGCTATAACTGAGGGATCTGAACCTTCTAAAACAACACAAAAATATGGAAGTGGAATTGGAAAAGAGGGAATCAGCAAATGTGGCCTACCTAGTTTCCCTCATGAGGGATATCTTCACCAGATTTTACTTCTCTATTCAGTCCTTGCACAGAAGGAGCATTTCTAATCAGTGTGGGGGAGGTCTGCTTTAACTAATTTGTTATCAGTTAACCTGTCTGTAATTCCAAGAGCCTCACAGGCACAAGTATACAGATAAAGGTATAGATACACAGAACATGACACTGCTGCCTCTTCAATAGGGGTAGCCCAATATATTTTGCTGCCAATAGCAGAAGACAAGATGGTGGCCTTCCCCATTCCACACACAAAAGCCAGTTGGACTGGCACCAAAATCTTACTTCAATGTTGGCAAAAGGATAGTGTTCATCACAGCACCTCAAAGCAGTAGAATTAGATGGTCCAGCAAAAGTTGCATGGCATGGACTTATTTAAGTATTCCAACACATACACAAGACCCTTGTCAAAAACAAGGAAGCAGCTAACAGATCCAGAAAGACCAGCAGTGTGATTACATTGCTGCTGTCTCCCAGTGCTATTACCTGAAGTAACTACCTCACTGTGTCTAAAAGCAAAGCCAGTCCTGGATGGAAATTGTTTACCATTTTGACTCAAACCCTCTCCCCTTCTATTTGTATTACATTTGTGAACTCTCTTATACTTGAGAGACCTTTGTCATAATAACCAAAATTACCAGCATAGGTTGGCATAACTTCATGGATTTAATTATGAATTGAAATAAATCACTGAACCAAGACTTTTCATTCAAATTAAATACATTTTAAAAAAGAAAATGAACACAGTGGGTAAGTAAACAATCCTTGGTAAATGAGAGAGGTTCTAAAATGATAAGCTATGGGTGGTGGTGGAGGACACTAGCACATATATTATAGTTCAAGCTTCTGTAGAATGTAGACAACTTTATCAGAGGCATGTTAGAAAGTACTGACAAGGATAATTTTATTATTAAGAGCACCTATTGGTCTTTGTTGCTATTTAGAAACATATCCTGGCAATAAACAGTCCAAGTAATACATGTTGTGTGATTTGAATTTGAAATGAACAAACTTTAGCCCACATTCTAGCCCCTGGAGGTAGAATTGAAACATCTTGATGAATTACGACTTTTGCTATATCTCACTATATTTTCCCATTGACATTTCTTTGCTGTGCAATAGCCATGTTCCACTCCTCATGTGGATTCATGTGCTGTTGAGATTCATTTTAGACTGTAGGCAACATATTGCAGAACAACCATGTCCCTTCAGCATACCCTCTATATAAAGAACAGACATTTCTATGAATTGAGAGCACACCAGAAGAGGCTATCAAATACAGACAGCATTGAGCAGATGTTGCAGTGCAGTGTGTATGGGACAAGTGTGTGTAACTGGTTGTTCCACTGCATATGAGATGCTCACCTAGCAAAATTGCATGTTTCATTTCAGAACCTTGGCCTTAAGTTGTGGGGTGAAGGATTGAGAGATACAAATGGACTGGGTTTAGTTCATGATAACACTGAATGGTTACACTTTAATTCCTTGGTCAGTTTCTAATTTTCATTTCCTACATGCGTGCTTTAAAAAAACACAAAAAATTTGTTTCTACCATGATAGACAAATGCATTAAAATTGCTTCTTCAGCACCCTTATGCAGCCTCTGTGTTGCTGGCTGCAAAGAACACTCAGGTTCTTCATTGGCTCAACACAGTAAGAATTCTGCCTGCCTCTGGCACTCACAAGGAGATTAACATATGAATGCTGTCAGAGCAAATCCCCTTTTCTTCTTCACAGATTCTCAAAATGTGAAGAACGAGTGACAGAGGCGAAAATGAACATCAATGAGACGAACATGCACCTGGTTTCATGTTTATCTATGCCAATAACAATGTTTCTGTCTGGCTGCTTTTGGCTTGGAGGCATGAACTAAAACAGAGCAAGGAATAATGCATTTTTATAATTTAGCTGGACCAGATGCTGACTTTCAGCATATCATACAGTAATTATATTTTTAATTAGGATCAGCTGTCCAATTTTAAACATGTTTGAAGTGTATGCAGCACAGTCTGAAAAGTTTTGATTATTCCACTTCCTCAAAGTTGAGTGAAGAAAAAGGGGAGTTCTTAATGGACTCCCTTGGCCTTGCAGGACTGGGCCCTCATTGCCTCTGGCTGCCCCACCCCCTCCTCAACATCAGCCACCTGGCTCAGGGGGAGAAGGGGCTTTAGAAGGGGTTTTTATTGTGATTATCAGTTGTCATCAGGTTACCTATGTAGAGACCCATAGTGGATCTGAGGGAACAGGAAGGGGGGAGGGCATTGGAGGGGGCAGCCATTGAGGTGATGCTGGGTAGTGGAAGGAATGCCCACATAGGAGAAGAGAGGTTAGGTATCTTACATCTATCCCTCTTCTAATCCTACCCCCAACCAGATAGTATCAGGTGACCATATCTGCAAACCCTCGAGCCACACGGTGCTTTTGATGAATGCCAGGTCCGTACAAAATAAGACTGCCCATCATGTAATTCTGGATAAGGGTGCTGACCTGGCGTGCATTACTGAGACCTGGGTGAGAGAGGAGGGTGGTGTTCCCCTCTCCCTGGGTACTCGGTCCAGCACCAATGTCGCTCAGAGGGTTGGGGAGGGAGAGTTGCTATAGTCTATAGGAGTTCTATCTCCTTGACCAGGCTTCCTATCCCTTTGAGAGGAGGTCTTGAGGGCCTGTATTGTGTGTTGGGCTTACGAGACAGATTGGGGATTCTGTTGGTATACCCCCTACCCTGCTGCGTACCAACAGTCTCCCTGCCTGGTGTTGAGGACTCCCAGGCTGTTGGTGCTGGGGGAATCTCAACATCCATGCCGAGGTTGCCTTGACTGGGGCAGCTCAGGACTTCATGGCCGCCATGACAACCATGGGGCTGTCTCAATGTGTCATGGGTCCGACACATGAGAAGGGCCATACCTTGGACCTGGTTTTCTCAACGGGACTGGAAGATGGTGGTTTGGATGTGGAGGGACTGGTTGTGACCTCATTGTCATGGTCAGATCACTTCCTGGTGAAGTTTAGTCTATTAGCTTCTTCTGTCCTCTGCAAGGGTGGGGGATCTATTAAGATGATCCACCCTCGGAGACTAATGGATCCAGATGGTTTCCTGAATGCTCTGGGAGATTATCTGTCTGATATGTTCAGCGCTCCTGTTGAAGCTCAGGTCACCCTATGGAATAGGGAGATGATCTGGGAGGTTGACACAACTGCACCTAAGTGCCCTCTCCTTGCACACAGAGCCCAGACAGCTCCTTGATATACTTCTGAACTGTGGGCGATGAAGCGAGAGGGGAGACAGCTGGAGCACAGGTGGAGGAAATCCCACTGGGAGTCCAATTGAACACGACTTAGAGCCCATTATCGGCCCTATTTCATGCCAATACGGCTGGTGAAACAGCAATATTTCTCCAGCCATATTGCTTCCTCAGAATGTCATCCAGCAGAGCTGTTTCAGGTGGTCTGGGATCTTCTTCAACCTGGAAATCTGGTGGAGGTCCCAGACTGCTCATCAGCTCACTGTGATGAGTTTGCAATTCATTTTGAGGGGGAAATCACTCAGATTCACAGTGGGTTGGACTCCACTGTTACTGCAGAATCAGAGGA